TAACTTAGAATTTCTGTTGATTAAAGATGTTTGTTTGTTATTAAAAATGTTGGTGATATAACAGAAAATAGCTTAATTCAGAAACGATTTAAGTTTAAAATTTAATCGATATTTTTACTTTCATGATAAATTTTATGCACTTGTCTCTAGATTTCACAGCCCCTTACACCCCCACCCATTACTAAAATTGTAATTGGCAGACAGTAATCGAACTATTACTATTTTATCTGGATAAATGCATTTTGGCTTTTATAACCCCTCCTATTTCGAGAAATCAAACGTGACGTGACACACAATGGCTTGTAATTTTTATATATTATAGGGTAGATACTACTACTATAATTTCACTTTCAGACTATATATATATTACTTTATAACATAGTAGTTTAGTAGTTACCCACCTTCTTCGTAATTTGTATTTGTAATTAACTAATAATAGTTAATACACTTACTACAAGATCACTAAGAGTACGATAAAATTTTTATTAAAAATAATAATCCCGAAATAAGCTGATATAGTTCATGATACAGTGATACTGATCGTATAGGTACGGCACAGGTTACAATACATAGGCCTAACTTAAATTTAAAACAAGTTTGATTGTAAGATTTAGTGATTAATTCAACAGCTACAAATAATACAGACCTACCTATCTGCTTATATTGATTATAAATAACAAAAAAAATTGTTTATCTAAAGTAACTTTTCTTGAGTAATATACGTTAAATACCATAACAATTTCATTGCTAATCAATGTAGGTGAATGACGTCACCAATCTAGCGACACCTTTCAAATTTGAAATACATAAAGTCTTAAAAATGTAATATTTTGGTCAGTAACGGTGTTTCTTATCAAAACTAAAAACTGAATATATTTTTGAGGTTGCCGATATGGACATTTTTTATCGAGAAAATAACAAGATTTAATAAAAACAAACCATAAAGAATTGTGAGTAGGTTATATCGTATTTTTTTTTTCCTGTGGAATAGAGATATTAAATATATAAATAATATATTAATCATATCGTACAACAATTTGTGCAGGAAATTGCAAATCATATATCAGATGGTGGCATTAAGAGGCCTAATTTCTACGTTCTGAGAATTAATATGATCACGTGTAAAAATGGTTTAAAATTACATATAACTATATAGACGTGTATTTTATATGAAAATAAAACATTATGTCAAGGATACTGAAGAAAGTTAACTGTGGGGATGAATTTATAAGTAGGTCACTAGAGTTGAATGCTAGGCTTACGTTAATATGTAAGGATGAGCAGACTGACTGATCAGACTTGTGGGATCAGTTTAATGAGAGGAAGGAGCTTCTTTGAATGGATGGTTTGTTGAAGTTGAGGGTATTATAGCAAAGAGATTGAATCCAGTTGTGTTTCTAGTAGTGGATATAAAGGGAAAATGCTTTTGTGGGAATTTGTTAAAGAACATCAGAAGATATTGGTGAAATTAATGAGAAACTTTACAGTGAGATTCAGATTTCAGCTGTTAATGAGGGCATAATTATGGGTGATTTTATGTTCAGGCATATAGATTGGAAAATTTTAGAGTCAAATTATGAGGGAGAAATGTTTTTGTAAACTGTTCTTCACCAACTGGTCAAGGAACCTACCACAAACATGCTATTTTAGATATATTGTTAACTTGTAATATAGAAATGGTTGAAAGGGTGGGAACTGGGAGCATCCAAGTGCAAATGACCATTTCTCTATCAGGTAACTGATTTGATATTTTGCTGCAAATGGAGATCAGAAATAATGATATTTTGATTAAAAATTTCAAAAACGTAAATTTTGAAGGGATGCAAAAAGAATTATCTGTTGTGAATTGGGCAGTTGAGTTATTTGGAGACACTGATCAAATGTGAAAATTTTTTAAAGATAAATTTCTAATTTTCAAGATATACATGTTCCTTATAAAAAGAAAAGGGCGGCTGCAAGCAAGAAACCAGGTTGGCTCACAAAGGTTATAAGGGATACAATTAAAGAAAAGCATCACAAATTTAAGAAATTTAAATTGACTAGTATGACGCAGTGGCGTTTTAACCATTAGGCTGAGTAGACTTAAGCCAAAAGGCCCGAGAGCAAAAAAAGGTTTAATTGAGTGTACACGTGAGTATTTTGGATGATATTTCAGTACTTTTGCATATTCATCTGGAATATTACAAATACTATTTTGTTTTCTAAATTAGGCTCCAAACATATAAACATTTAGAAATAATGCTTTTAAGACTTCATACCGCAACTGCGAGATTGTGTTTACCATGACGACGTTATTACGTCACGAGTTGGTGTTAACAATGAAAATGTCAACATAAAGCTTTCTGTTCATACTAGTATTTTGTATTGTTGGCAGTTTTTCTTCTGCAAAATGGCTACTAGGGAATACAAACATAAAAGTGTAGCACAAAAAAGGAAAGAGAACAAGAGACTCTACAAAAGAATACATCCAAGCTTGACAAGTTTTTTAAACCAGCAAAAGAAGCAGTACTTGATGATGTGGACGATGAAAAAGAAGACTTGCGCGTATACTGGCTAAAGGCAGGGAGCGAAGCCTGTTGGAACATGAATGCCAGTATTGTGAAATCTATAAAATATGACGGTAAACAGAAACGTTACTTTAGTAAGTCTATGTTTTACTGCTCCCTTACAAATGGCGAGAAAATCAGGAAAAGTTGGCTGTGTTATTCTCCAAGTATAGGTAAGACATTCTGTTTTAACTGCAAACTGTTTCAAATTCAAGTGAAGACTATGCTTTTTCGAAGCATGGCTTCTCTGACTGAAAAAATGCAAGTCAAAGATTAGAAAGTCATGAAAATAGCCAAGGTCATCAGGATGCGACCATTACCCTCACTACAAGGTCTCGAGGTATTGGATGTGTAAACACCTTGATTACTCGACAATACTAGTCAGAACGTGGCTACATGAAAGCACTTCTGGAAAGGGTTGTTGCTACAATTAAATTTCTTGTTGAGCGGAGACTAGCCTTTAGGGGACACAACGAGTGTATCGGATCACCAAACAATAACAATTTTCTAAGGACACTAGAATTGCTAGCGCAATTCGATCATTTTTTGGCAATTCATATTAAAAAGAATGAAAATAAGGGTAAAGGCACTGTGTCCTACCTTTCATCCACAGTATGCAATGAGCTGATTGAAATGCTTGGACAAAAGATGTTGGAGAAAATTATTTCCGAACTCAAAGAAGCCAAATATTTTTCAGTATCTGTGAATTCAACACCTGATATTTCACACGTGGATCGGCTGTTCTTGCATCTTTCGATATGTGCATGAGAGTGATCCTATTGAAAGATTCGTCAAATTTCTCGATTGCAGAGGTCACAGTGGTGAACAATTTGCAGAAAGTATTTTGATGTTTTTAGAAACAGAAAAAATAGACATAGAAAACTGCAGAATTCAATCATACCACAATGACTCCAACATGAGTGGCAAGTATAATGGTTTTCAAGGTAAAATACGTGTGATAAATCCAGTAGCTGACTATATTCCTTGCTTTGCTCGCTCATTGAACTTTGTCGGTCATTCAGCAGTAGATTGTGTTCGAAAAGCTACTGCCTTTTTTTTGATTTTGTTGAACAGTTGTACAATTTCTTCAGTGCTTCAATCCACCGGTGGGAATACTTGTGGGTGAGCTTGGAAAGAATCTTGCAGTTGTAAAGAGACTTAGTGATACTAGGTGGTCTGCTCAAGGGCATGCTACAGCCGCCCTAGATCAGGGATACGAGAAAGTGAAATTAGCATTGGAAAGCATTACTGACAATCCAGATGAAAAGTCAAACACACGACAAGAAGCCAGAGGTCTTGTAAGCAAAATGGAATCTCTGGAGTATGGAATACTTCTCAGCATTTGGGCAAAAATTTTGGAGTAATTCCACAAAACTAGCTTGAATTTAGAAAACCCAGGAATAGATCTTAACAAAGGCGTGAGACTTTTGCAGTCCTTGGAGGCCTATATCTAAGACCTAAGGACCAATGATTCATTTGAGGACTTTGAGAAAGAAGGCATTGCAAAGGTTTGGACATCAGTTTACAAAGAAGAAACGCAAAGGAAGTGAAAAGCTAGTACCAGGATAACAAGATATGACTGCGAAGCACAGGCAACAGATTCTTCACCTCGCCAGAGTTTCATGATTAATGTGTACTTACCGATCTTAGATAAATTATCAGCAGAGCTAAAAAAAACGCACTGAAGCATATAGATCTGTGTCCCACCGATTTGGATTTTTTTCTCGTATTTGCAATATTGATGCTGACGCACTTAAAAAGGCAATGAATACCCTCATACAAGTTTATCCGGACGACTTTGACTTGGCCTTTGTGGAAGAGCTCGTCCACTTTCGAAAGTACATTAAAAGACAATCCGATGATGATGTCACTGTAACTAGGATGTATCGAGCTCTGTCAAGAGATCGACTGCACGAGGTGTATCCAAATACATACATTTGCTTTAGAATTTATCTGTCCTTAATGACCACTAACCCGTTCATTTTCGGTGCTGAAGAGGATCAAAACCTATTTGCGCGCAACGGCAATGAGAAACTTAGTCATCTGGCACTCATGCACATTGAATCAGATATGCTTCGATCTGTTGATTTACATGCTGTTATCGACACTTTGTAAACCAAAAAACACAGAAGTTTTTAAACTACAAATGTAAAAAAAGAAAAAGAAATGAATAAAAGGGCTGTAATTGATTCATATAACTTTATGATATATAGTATATTATACATAGTACAACGATATAAGTTATTTAACGTAACTTAACGTCACTTTATTCTATTCAACGAAGGGAGGGGCAGGGGGCAAGACCAGGGGAAGCCTTACTAAAGCTGAGCCTTAGGGCCCAGGTGGTAGTTAATCCCCCACAGGTATGACGGGACATTTAGAAAATTATAGAAGATCAAGAAAGTTCGTCAAACAGGAATTAGGACATAAAGAAGGATGTACTAAAATGTTGGCTGAAAATGTAAAAATTAACAATAAGAATTTCTCTAAATACATTAAGAGTAAACAAAATGGTAGGACTTTTGAAGGATGGTAAAGGAACGCTTGTATCTGGCGATTATGGGATAGATAGGATACTAAATTCTGCTTTTTCTTCAGTTTTTACTAATGAAGATTTGAGTGATATTCCTCATCTTGAACAGTTGATATATATAAACAAGATAATCATATTAATTCTGAGCTTGTTAAAAAAATCGGAAAGTTTAAAGAACGATAAAGCTTCTGGAAAAGATAATATTTCCACAAGAGTTTTAAAAGAGGTTAAGGGTTGGATATGTGAGCCACTAGCTACCATTTTTTGTGAGTCCTTGAATAGTGGACAGGTGCCAGAAGATCGGAAGTTGATTAATATTACTCCTCTTTGCAAGGGAGGTGATAAAAATTGTCCCAGTAATTCTAGGCCTATTAGTCTTACATTAGTTGTGGGAAAAGTTTTGGAGTGTCAGTTAACAAATTTTAGAATTTTATTGCATAGTCAACATGGTTTCACTAAGGGAAAATCTTGCATTACAAATCTTTGGACATTCTTTGAAAATGCTACTGCTTATGTAAATGAGGGTATGGGTGTAGATTTGGTGTATCTGGATTTCCAGAGAGCATTTGACAAGATGCCACATCAAAGGCTTGTAAAAATAACTCTACAGATGTGAGGGATAAGTAGCTAACTGGATAGAATAGTAGCTGAAAGAAAAAAGCAGAGATTGTTAGATGTGTAGTTCAGTCAAACTGGA